TATATATATACTTATATTTATTATTTTTATCCCCCCCCCCCGGCCTTTCATTCGCCAGTGCATGATGATAAGGATGATGATTTCTTATTGAGTTGCTTGTCAACCGCATAGTGTTTTTTGATTATCTACAAAACCTTTGTGTATATTATTAAAATAAAACTATTTATTGTAAATTATTTAATCGGTTTCTTATTTCTTCAGCAAACTTCTGTACCACTGACCAACTAAAGTCAAAATGTTTTAAGGAATATTCTTATAGAAAAATTATTACATTAGAATTTTTTCTATAAAGGATTAAATTTTTTTAGTTAGCAGAAGAATTGTCTTGATTTTCATGTTTACTTGAACTTTATTCCTATTCAGTAATTTTGTGTAAAGAATGTTTATTTTATTTTCCACATTTGAACACATTTGTAATTTTTAAAATGAAATAAACAGCATTTTTTTTGAAATGCATCTTTTATTAAAAATTTACAAGAAAATTAATGATGTGTTATTTAATTAAACATGAAACATTAAATATTGTATTATTCAAAAACAAATTTTATTAATGCACATGCAAGAGATCTTCAAGACAAGAAATAATTTTTTTTCTCCTTCTAAAATACTAACTTAGATGAATCACATCATTGTTGAGAACTGTAGCTTGAAGTTGCATTTGAGGAGTTGAATTCTTTAGATCTTTGTAGTAACTGTAGACAACAATGATGAAATAACGGCAAACAACTGAAACAATGAAGTACACTGCATTAAATTATGAGTATTCTTTTGAATTATAAAAGTAGAGTATGGAGCAATATGTATTGAATAATTTTATGAAGCAAAATCATAGCATTATCTTTTAAGAATAACTTTAATAAACTAGTTTTCTATTCCTTGCTTTATGTGATTGTATTATGTGTAAATTAGTATCCATATTGTACTTAAAAACATAATTTTTAGATAGAAAAACCTCCTGTCTCAGAAGAGTCTTTTTTGAGTTTATATTTCCCAGATGTTGAATAAAGGGTGCTTCACACAATGCAAACCTGTATTTCTCAAAAATTGCTTCAATTTTTTAAAATTTTATTTATTAATTAATTTATGTAAAAACAATTAAAAACTGAGTGTGATATGCTAAAGGGAGAAGTTAATTTGAAGTTACATTAATGTCCAGAAAGAAAACAAGGGGCCATCTCAGCATTTGCTCAAGGATCAGTAAAACTGGATGAAAACCTGATGGAGAGGTGGGTCATTGACCTAGAAGCTAAAGTACAATACTTGTTACTGGTTCTTTACAGTTATACAATCCAAATGATATATAATGCATTAAATGTCATTGCTAAAATTAATATTACTTTCCTTATGGATGCTCAGTATATTCTCTAATTGTATAGAAACAGTGGTACAGCACAAAAGATTTTACTTGGGACTTAAACTTTAGCATCAACTTTATTTGTTTAATGTCATCTGGCAAGGTGTTAAATAATGTTCATGTATTATATGAACATTTTTTTGTAGTGAGCAGTTGATACTGTCACCCGATGAATATGATTACTTTGTCAAGTGTTGTAGTTATAGATTAACAGCATTTGATGAAAATATATTTCTGCCCTTAAGTAAGTCATTTTTGATAAAAACCACTCATTCAAATTTGAAGAGACATGGTAATGGTAAAATACCTAGATTAATAAAGAGAGGCTTACAAGAATCACGTGGGTTGGTTTTGCTAATTATTCGTATAATTCTTTTTTGAATTCTAAAAGTCTGGGAGCTAAAAGATGTATTTCCCAGGAATATTATGCCATATCTCAGGCGGGAATGAACATTTACGAAATATACACAATGAGCAGTATGGAGGCTGACTGAATTTGAAAGAGTTCTGAAAGCATGGCATAAAGAACTTAATTTAGTGTTCAATTCATTTAAATGGATGTTCCATTTAAGGTTTGACTGATTTGAAAGACCTAAAAATTTTGTTACTGTGACATCAGTCAATGGCACACTCTTCATTTTCAGTGGAGTGCAGAGCTGTTTATTTCAAATGGAAAATTGCATTGAAACAGTTTTCTTTTCATTTACTATAAATTTATTATTACAGAACCAGTTTAAAATATCTGATATTATACTATTTATGATTTCTTTATTGCAAGAATATTTGTATCATCCGCAAAGAGAACTGTTCTTCTCTTTCTAATCTTCAAGGGAATATCATTTATGTAAAGTAGGAAGAGAATAGGGCCTAAAATCGATCCCTGCGGGCCCCCAAATGCAATTATCAAAGGATCAGAAAGATGTGTACATATTGTTCCGTAATTCCAGTAAGGTATTTCTACTCTTTGAGATTGTTTAAGGTACGAACATCACCAATCTACATCTTTAGGGTGACATCTTTAAGAAAAGAAAAGATGATTGCCACAAAAGAGAATAATCAGATCCTCTTGTCTTCTGATGTTCAAATATTAAGTTTCATATCAACGTTTTTCTTCTTTCCCAAAAATATTTGTGTTTTGAAATATGAGGTTTTGCCATCTCAAAGGTTATATTATGTTAACATATATATACATAATCAATGCATACACAAACATTTTATCATTCTTACAAACACGCTGTCACATCTACCAAGTTTCAGTTCTTTTGCTTAGAGAAAAAAATGATTTTTAATTCTTAAATGTTCTCGTAGATTGGAGTAATCTGTATTCAAAGGATGGTCTTACAGAACTGTATGGGAAAGTACACTTCTGACTGGATTGATTTTTTTTCTAATGTTTATTTCAGATTTGAAACTCTTATGAAAAATGGCTCTTCATGTTGGGGAAATAGGCGTTGGTTACTTTCTGAAATTGACTTGCAAGACAGTAATTGGATTCAATCAGGTAACGATTAGTAATCATATTTTTCTATATCTGTGATTATAATTCAGATTTCCAAATTGCTTTTGAAATAATTTTTTTTACAGTAGTAACATAAATGATTTGGTCATTAGTGACTTTAGTTATATTTTACGTTATGTTTATGATTATAATAAACATACACAACTTTTACTACAATACCACATCACCACAATAAATAATCCTTTTCATCTTTAATTAAGCATCTCTACATATTTTGAAGATTTATTTTATCCTAACAATTGTTAATATTGTCAGGCAATTCTGTTTATTTTATTTTATTTATTTATGCCAGCTTACTGCAAATAGGTAACAATTCATGTATTAAATTATAAAGCAAAAACTAATTTGACAATAATCACTTTTGAGCAATAAAACTATTGTTGCATAGAATGAAAATAAAGATTAACTAAATTACAATACATCATTGTTGAGCAAAAATTATCAAAGTATGCTATCGAAATATAATATATCATTGTTTAGAAAGTGTAATATTTTTTAAATTTGACTAAAATGATATAGATCCTCCAAAAAATTGATGCTAGAACAATATTTATTTACCACGTTCACAATTCTGTTTTTCGGGGCATGATATACATTCTAGTGTTTCTGGACAATTCAAATTATTCTATTATTTCTGGAAAATCAATTTGACAATTAATAATCTTATAAAAATATGTAAGCATGCTCTCTCACATTTGCATGCTCTCTAATTATATTTTTGCACTTAATGTATCAGGTCTTTTATCAGTAGGTATGAGAGGATTATTCTTCATTTAGTTTAGATGCATTGAGTATTTTTATTTTTGACATGTGGCTGGTGCTTCAATAGGTCAATTGAAGTTTTGAATTTCAGTTTGTCCAGATCTTATTCCGTTTTGGCCAGTTGGATTGATTTATAGTCCTTTCTTGTTGTTCTACTCTGATAGGTTCCTGGGACCAATTGATGCATCTTAAGGTGGGGTTAAGATTGTTTTGACTGCTGAATCTGGTTTTGCTTTACCTAAATCTATTGATGAGCTGAGATTTTTACTGAGATCGATGAGCTGAGACTATGACTATTTTGATGTTGCATTCTATTAATGCTGTAGTTTTTGTATTCATTGAATTCTTGAATTTTTGTGTCCATGGTCATTAAATGCATCTAAAGTTGATTTGGAATTGTAAAGATACTGGCTCTGTTTAGTATTGAGTTGGTGACTAAATCAATGGCTTTGTCCATGATGAAGGTTTCTAGCAAAATGTTGAGAATTATTCGAGTAATTTGAATAAAAATTCTTGGTTTTCAAAGATAATTGCATAAACTTTTTAAAGAAATTATTGATTATCTTTATATATGGGTGAGATTTCATATATCTATGCAATAGTGCTTTGAAAAAATATTTGTATGTAAGTTCCTTCTTTCATTCCTTCCATTTACGTTCTTCCATTGATGGAATTGGGTGAATTTGATGTAAGAATGAGGCATTCTATTTGAGTGACAAATCGTGTTTGAAGGCACAAGAAAGTCAACAAGAAGATGATCGAAATGCCTTTATCACAGTCTTCAATTTGGGTCACCCAGAAGTCAAGATCATTTGCCAGGCTATGGCTGCAGAACCCTTTGACATCAACAATCTTTCTTGATTTTTGCAATCATCAAAGAGAATGCTGAAATGGACCAATGTTTATATTTGGCCATTAAATGTAATTTTACATTCACAATGATAAATTCATACAGTGAAATGTGATTTTTAATAATTGATTTTTCATAACATTTGGATTTTCAGAAAAAGGAGTTTAGATAAATAAAATACTCCACTATAGAAACCTTATAGTTGCAGAGATATCTATCAATTTTTAAAAATTGTTCATTTTAGTATACGGTTTCTTTTTACTCAAGAAACCCTTGTATTAAATAAAAAATCTCCGCTGAATTATACATTTTTGAAACAATCATATTCAGCAAAACTTAAAAAATGACAACAATTTGATGAAAGACATTCTTAATGTTAAGGTAAGAGTCAAAGAAGAGAAGTAAGAATAAGGATGTTGATTTATGTAAGGGATTGGCAGTAATATGCAGTTTGTTTGTTTTAGTAAGTCATGTTGAGAGGTTACGTAAATGCAGAAAGCTAAAGAGGGCGACATTGTTTTAATGATTTTGTAAAATGAAAGTAATCCAGAACATAGAAGCCCCCTAAATATGCAAAGACCCCTACATTATTGCTATTTTAAAAATTCTACTTGTAGATGCAAACGTATTTGTAAGAACTCTCACATCACAATTGTTTTTTGAATTCTCATCTAATTTCTCCCAATTTAATTGAGATTCTGGTTTGAACTAACAGATATCCAAATTTCTCTTAAGGAATGGCTATCATATCCAAATACTTACGGCAATAAATAGTTCCGATGAAGAATATTAAATATCCCCAAGTAAGGATATCAAACATGAACTCTAATGTGGCGTAGATTGATAAGGCAATAGTTAGCATGAAGATCATTATTGTCTGGGCTGTCATGTAGATCACCCACAGCATCACACATCTATACTTTTCCTGCAACAAGATACAATTCTAGGAAAAAGATATGTTAGTAACATTAGCAAATATTAGGGTTGGCTAAATTTTCACCAGTCAAAAAGAAGACTCATATAAAAAGGAACTGTTGAAAAATCCATAAAAATGTCTTAATATTTTTTTAAAAATAATTTCAAATAAACCAAAAGAACTTATAATTCTATGTATTAAACTATACATTAACAACTTAAATTTAATCACAACCAACTCATACAAAACACAACACTACAAAAAAAAACAACTGACAATATATGGCAAACTTCATTTACTAATATTGACAACTTCAATTTTATCAGACAAAAATACGATGCCAACACATGCAGTATTACAGTAAAATGCAAACTTGTTTTCCAACTTTGCTACATGTTACACATTTGTTACTTTATAACCCAATCTTAATAATATTGATGACATTTATATGTTACCAGTAATGATCTCATGAGTTTGGAATCTTAAAACCAGAGGAATATTTTTATGTACTCTGTATGTACTGATCTGTACTAAATGTATTTTTTGTTTGAATGATGTTTGATGTTTTGGTTTTATCCCCTTTTTTATGTAAATGTGCACTTGTTTTCTGAAAGTCATAGGTCTACGAGTATATGTGGGGCTTGAAAGTGTAAACCATATGCATGTGCTAGGACAAAATGTAAGTCAAATATGACACTTCCCAATGGATTTTACTTGAATCGCTCGGTCGGAAACATCTCGCTATGGGCTAGAGAGAAAGTCATGTATTGCTGCGCGAAAAACGGTGAATTTTCGGCGGAAACACTCATTGCCGGACCCTGGTAACGAAAAATTGGATAAATACAGTAGCTAAATTTGAAAAGAAAGAAAAAAGGAAAAAAAAAACCTGTAATACGTGATGCAGCCAGAATACATGTTTTACGGCGTCTATTCCGTTCCGTACCGTCCGCCCGTCCGTCAATCTGTCCGTCCTTTCGTCAGTACGTCCGTACGTCAGTCTGTCCGTCCGTCCGTCAGTTCGTCCGTCAGTCAGTCCGTAAGTCAGTCCGTAAGTCAGTCATCCCATTCGTCAGTCAGTACGTCCGTCAGTCCGTCTGTCCGTCAATCCATCAGTCCGTCTGTTAGTCCGTCCGTCAGTTCGTTCGTTAGTCCATCCTTCAATCCGTCAGTCGGTCCGTTCGTCAGTCCGTCCGTCAATCCCTCTGTCCGTTCGTCAGTGAGTCCCGTCAGTCTGTCTGCCCGTCCGTCAGTCCATCCGTCAGTCCGTCCGTCAGTCGGTCCGTAAGTGCGCCAATCAATTAGTCCGTCCGTCAGTCCGTCCGTCAGCCAGGCCGTCCGTCAGCCCACCAGTCCGTCCGTCAGTCCGTCCGTCACTCCGTCGGTGCTTCCGTCAGTCCTTCCGTCAGTCCGTCCGTCAGTCCTTCCGTCAGTCAGTCACTCCGTCCGTCAGTTCAACAGTCCGTCCGTCCGTCAGTCAGTCCATCAGTCCGTCCGTTAGTCAGTCCATCAGTTCGTCCGTCAGTCTGTTCGTTAATCCGTCTGTCCGTCAACCCGTCCATCAGTCCGTCCGTCAGTCTAACAGTCCGTCCGTTCGTCAGTCCGTCCGTCTGTCGGTGCGTCAGTCCGCCATTCCGTCTGTCAGCCAGTCCGTCTGTCCGCCCGTAAGTCCGTCAGCCTGTCAGTCATTCAGTTCGTCCGTCAGTCATTCAGTTTGTCCGTCCGTGGACGTTAGCGGCTATGCCGGTTTTTTTGAAAATTGATACTCTCCTATCTATCTTGTTGATTTGTCGGTCTCTTGAATTTTAATCTGATTATTTTAATTTTGGGAGGTACTTATTTCAATTCCTTGGGGCATTTTCCCAATTTAAAAAAAGGCTTCCTTGTTTTTATTAAATTGTGTAATTGGATAGTGTGTAGGAGGTTTAAGAGAATGGTTCCGGTCTCATGTTCGTTGACAGTTCTGATTTTTCGAAAATTGCAAAATTCAAAATGTTTTCGCCGTAATCCTACAACTACAATTACGAAGAAAGATATTTTTTTCCTTATCAAAATCAGTTCTGTAAAGATAGATTTGGTATAAGGTCAAGTAAAAGTTCTCGAAAATTTGAGTACTTTTCTCTTTTAATTTAATTTTACATGAAAGAAGGAACGAGAAAGTACGTGCTGTTTTAGGACCACTAGTTGGAAAATGATTTTGTGCGGGGAGCATTTTTGGTGTTGCAGGGCACTAGTAGTTATACGCACACACGTGTCAGTTAACATCGCAGATAACGCCAGTTAATAAACTAGCTTAGCCGCCGTGTATTTGCAACGCACTTACCGCGAGGACCCCGTACGCCAGCAGCAAGCTGCACAGGAACTGGAAGGAGCCGAGCACCAACGGCACGCAGTGTGCCAGGACTATCGCTTTGTCTGGAACACACGGCCGACATTTGCACGCGGGGCTGGACGTATTGATATTGTATTAAAAATAAATGATCTTCCTTGGGGTAGGGGCAATAGAAGTTCATTGATGTTAATGGGGTTTATTTTTGTTAATTCTATTTAGAAAACAGAAATATTACCTGTTAATTTATGTAATACTATTGACAGCGAAATGGAATATAAGGGAGACAGTTAATATCAAAATATCTGGTTTAAAAATAAATCCTTTGAACAGGTTCAGATCTATATTTGATATTAAAATTTTCCAGAAGTGAATTTCAGTGAAAATAGTGTAGTACGTTTGTATCCAAATTATGACGCTAAAATTCTATACGATTTATACAGTGTACCAGTAAAGTCTCTTTTCTCATCGAGCCGAATCATTGTGTTCTAGTGAAAATGACGTTAAATGCAATTCGTTTATAATGTAGCTATTCCTTTATGTTAAAATGCTTGCAATTCGTTTATTGCATTCGTACAAATATGGAAACTCGCTTCTAATATCTCTCGTTTTCAAAACATATTCTCATGCAATAAAGCCCAACAGCCAGTTTTACACGGTCATTTTTTTGTAATTTTTCTGCCCCGGAAATGGATGGAAAGGGGATATTTGTTTGCACGCGTATCAAAATTGGATGGAGATCAACGTTTTACACGGTTATTTCGTTTTCTGCACGAAATCGCGATGAAAATATTTTACTGGACGCCGCCAAAAACCAATGAAGATCAAACAGTTGAACATAGCATCTGCGGCAACAAATTACGTTACGTTCAACGAGCTACAAAATATTTTATATAGAGTGGCTGAAGCGCCTCCATCTTGGAAGCAAATTGAAGCCATGCTTTTGCAGTCAAAGCAGCACCCTCTGTGAAACAAAGTACTGCGATTCATGCAGCTGCGATTGCATACTACGATTCATGCAGCTCTGCCCCTGGCAGGTCTCAGCAGTTCACGGTTTCATCCAATCGGGAGTTTGAACGTCACAATGGTGCATAACGCACGGGGAAAAGTTCCGGAAAGTGACGCCAGGAGCGCGGCAGTCAAACCGAATGGAATCAGTTCCGAAAAATGAAGTAAGAGTCATTTTTTTCTGAATAAATTACGTTCCGTCCGGAAAGACCGTCTTTCATTTACTATACCGATGGAAAAAAATGTCTGTGTAAAGCGGGCTTGAGCGGCGCGCGAGTGGTCTGTGGCGAGGGGCGGTACTCACAGTCGTAGACGAAGTGGTGGTTGGTGGTGCGGCCGAGGGACGCGAACGTGATCATCAGCGTGCCGAACGAGAAGAGCTGCGCGCGCACACACACACACACACACGCAAAAATACATTACTTAAATAGACATGCAGTGGGACATTTCAGATTTTATATTTATTTGGTCAAAAAGCAGTAAAAACTGTATGTGACGTAGGGGGGAGAAGATTATCTGCGCACGTTTTCTTGGCTTCCAGAATCCCTTCCCGTCATTTTAACTATAAATAGTTGAAAGATGAGTAAAATTTTAAAATAAATGAATAAAAATACATTTTAAAAAATCGCGAGATTAGCATTATTTGAAAAAAAATATACGTTTTCGTTTCCGAGTTATAGAAAACTTATTTGCATCGGTCCAGGAATTGCAGGTATGATCTTTCTGCATTGCTAACAAAATAGCAACTCGCCCTTACCTCTACTCTTACCATTACAAGCAAAAGGAGAGTTCAAAAAAACGTGCGCGTAGTGAAGCTACATTTACGTCCAGAAGCAAAACAAGGGGCCATCTCAGCAGTATTTGCTCAATGGATCAGGGAAACTGGACAAAAACCTGATCGAGATGATTTCATTTAATCACTGAGAGAAATGAAGTAGAATGTACTAAACATGTTTAGTAAGCGATCATGTAGTAAATACCATTAGTAGATATATGTAGTAGATGAAATCATTCGGCGAGATCTACGTTTCATGTCGTCACACTAGTTAAAGCTCGTTCTCAGCCGTCTGACAAATTCGAAAGGTTATAGAGCCCATGTGAAGTGCTAGAATTCAGCGCTCTGTATAGAATTATATACATAAACTCTACATAAATGGCGCGTTTAGTAGTATATTATCACTGGTTTAAAAAAAATTATCAAGAAATATCTTACATTTGCCCAAGTATTTTATCATCTGTAGAGAAAAAGAGTGTTACAAGCTCTTTCGAATCAATGAAAACGCTCATAAATAAATTCTATGAAAATGTGAAAAGTTTTATAGTTAAGTCTGTATTTTAACCAAATATACCAAATATGCGCCTATAATTACACGTACAAGCACCAACTGTATATATGCACCATAAGAAGAAATCGGCCAAATATGCACTAACATATATACAGTATCATATTCTAACCAAATGTCTTTCCCTAGGAGAAGAAATAGGAGAAATCCACCCCCTATTTATAAAAAAGTCTGTTTTCGTTCAAAACTGTTCGTACAACCTTATTAGAAATATTCTTTAACAAACAAATACCTTTTTTCTTTGAATAGAAGATCTCATACGCCATCTAGCTACTCTATTCGGACGCCAGATGTTGAGAGTAGCTATTCGCCCCTCCCTCCGTGGCTGCGTTAATTCCATAATATAATATAAATATATATATATATATATATATATATATCAGCGCGTGGCATTTCTTACGTGGCAGCCGTGTGACTCACCGTGCTCATCTCCGCGATGTAGATGGAGGCGTTGCGCAGCGAGAAGCCGCACCAGTGGCTCACCGAGGAGCAGTAGCCGAAGAGCCGCATGGCTGCGCTGCAATGCGTTCATCGGCTCATTAGTGGCTCCTGGCGCCTCAACTGCTAAGGGAGTTAGTTCCGACAGTGTGGTGTTTTTTTTGTAGGGGAAAGTGAATTGAATTGAATTGAATTGAGTTGAATTAATGCCTTATTTTACGTGGCGAGACTCGGGCTATCAGGCCCGCTCTTCCGTCTGACCACGCAAATTTCGCTACGCTCCTTTCACCAACTAGGAGAGGAAGGAGGAATTTCTTGGGCGAGAAACAGGCGGTTTTTGAATTTAGCTCAGAGGCGTCATTTAGGCTTGAGGATCTTTTGCATGCAAGTAAATCTACTCACATGGGACAGCCGGCTTTACTTCCCCTCCGAAGGAAGGCGTACGAAGAATTTTTTCGCCCTTAAAAATCCACGGCTTCGATCGGGTTTGAAACCGCCAATTTGGGTATACCAGTCCAATACGCTAACCGTTACACCATCGCCGCCGTAGGTGGATGGAAAGATTTGTCGCGAGGTTTTCCGCAACCAGGTATTTCCCACGAACGGGGCAACGCCCCATCTGGGATAAGCTCTAAGCACCCGACCGGTCTCCCGGCACGAGTGTAGTGCATGTAAAAGTAAGTGTATATAAGGAAATTCAGTCGCTGCCTGGACGAAAATTCCAGCGGACGATCTAGGACGACATTGGTCCCATAAGTGTAGTGAATGTTTTTGATCAGGAGGAGATGGTGGTGGTATGGCGAGATCCGGCGCCAACCTTCACGTTGGCTAGCGGGGTTTCCGCAGCCAGGTATCTCCCCCCAACAGAGCCTGCTCCAGCCGGTCACCCGGCGAGCTCAAAGCCCTCGTCCGGCCTCTTGGCATGTGTGATGCATGTAAGTGTGTGTAATGGGTGACGATAGGACAAGGAAGAGGAAGGAAAGATCACGCGCAGTCCTTGGCCCATATGTTAGGGTACTGCTCCGGCATTTGCCTGATGTTGATCGGAGAAACCACGGATAACTGTTCATCAGAGCAGCCGGTTGCTCGAATTGTGCTCTGGACAGCGACTGAATACGACCTAGCTGTGTAGAAAGTGTCGCAAATCCTGCAGAGACGGGAGTGTAACCCTAGGACATCCCTGTCACAGATACTGCAACGACATCAGTTGATGCCCTGAGCCATCTCTGACGGTGCGCTGCAATGCAACATGAGCTAGATTAGCAGGTTACTTTTCAGTTAGGCGGACTAGTTACACTTTGAAAGGGCTCAAGCCTTGTGGCACTCCAATTTTTTCAAACGAACCAGCCTACTAGAAACAATTACCAAACAATGCGAAGAGTGCCAATGATATAAAAAGGTCTTCAAGTATATGAGTGGCTAAATCTTGAAGTTTTACTATCTACGCCTTGAGAGAAAAGCAATGAAGATCAGCAGAAATCATAATGAAATCATTGTAGTTCGAAACTATCAAATTGTGAAAATATTCCATAATAAAGGCGTTCTTATTAAAATTAGTTACTTTGTTTTACGTTTAACAATAATTGAGTGGAAAAAAAGATTAACTACAAGATCTATTTTTGTCTGTACAGCTTCTTCGGATGCACATAATGAAACTTACTCGGCAAGTTCTTGTATAGGGAGTCATTCGTTACAACTTCTCTGTGCAATTGATTGTTGTAAAATGTACAAGTTTTACCCAAAATATATTTTTGTGTTTTTCTCAAAACAAGGATGTTGGAGTTGTAGTGTTTTTGTACTCACTGATTCAAGTATAATATAATCCAACATTATTCTTTTTACGTTCCCTTATACGGAGTGTTGACGTAGTACAAAGAAAGTTATGTAATGCGAAAATCGATGTCAAAATGTTGACGTTTTGGCGGTCCCAGTTTCCGAAAAAGTGTTTCCGAAACCTCTGTCCGTCTGACCATTTTGATAATTGAATTGGCTCCTTGGCAAGTCGTATTTGCGACAAATTTGCTAATTTTTCAAAACAAAAAAGAGAAAATTCATTTTTTTTCGGCGACATCTTTCTACAACTTTGTACATACAGATATTACTGAATGAAATCTGTTCTTTAAAGACATGTTTTGAATTAAGATCATGCACAATTTTTTCGTAAATATGAGTAGTTTAGCGTGATTTCTAATAACTTTGATTTTCCAAGTTTGAATTTTTCGCGCTTCATTGGCTAGTCTTCAATGAGGTAAAGGCTCCCACAGACCAGTGCGGAAAATTCGCAGCGGGTGCGGCGCGGAAAGTTCCGCGCTAGTCGCGGCGGAGGAATCCGCGGGACCGTCCACACCGGAGCGGCAATTATCACTCAGCGCTTGGTGATAGTTTTCGGCATTCGATAAACAAAAGCTAGGGGAGCGAAGACTCCCGAAGGCAGGCGGACGTGCACGAAACTCGAGCGGCAGCGGTCGAAACGCGTCCGAGTGCGTTCTCAAATCCGCAGGTAAAATAATGCTGCCGCCGCGGAGGCCTGAACGTGTTCGTAAAGCAACCGCGTAGGCTGCGGGAGCGTTCATAGATTGCAATAAAAAGGCAAATCTGCGCCGCGTCTCGGTAGTTTAATATTTTGAGAATTCCTTCTCATTGTTGGGAGATGTTTATGGCTGCACGAAATACAGTTTTAATTGTCGTTTATGTGTTGAAGTATTACGTACGAAAGAATTAGTCCTGACACGTAATGTTCTGCGATTTGTAATGAGTTATACGAGTGATAACTGAGATGTGTTAATACGATCAGAAATTCGAAGCCGGTATAATAAATCTGAAGCCGTTACTCAGTGCGAGAAAGTATGTGATGTTGCAACACCACTAGTTTTTGTGTGTGTTGTTTAAACGATGTATATCTTTTCTTGCTTCTCTTCATGTCAATACGTGATGACGCCAGAGCACGAAAACACTTAGGCAGATTAGGTGCTTCCGCTGTCTGAAAACGGACATGCAATTTTAATGTCTTATAGATCGCGTCGCTGTCTTCGAAAAAACTAATTCGGAGTGTTTGGCTTTGAAATTACGAGTTGCTCTCCAAACATAACACTTCATAACTCTCAACATAATTTGTTTGCATTTAATTTCATTCTGAGCTTGTGTAATTTCATTTGCGCCCGTATGTACAAGCTTATTTTTTTACTTTCTTGTATACATATGTATATGTAGATATGTACGGAGTGCAGAGAAATCGATACTCCGTATGTGTACATGTGATGCTTGCTCCAAAAATCGATTTCGAGATTTCAACGAAAATACACGTTTTTGGCTCCCCAGTTTATCCCACCCGTCCCCTGCCCAACTGTCCGTCTGCCCGACTGTCCGTCTGCCCGACTGTCCGTCTGCCCGACTGTCCGTCTGCCCGACTGTCCGTCTGCCCGACTATCCGTCTGCCCGACTATCCGTCTGCCAGACCATCTGCCCGACGCAATTTTTTCTTACATTTTTTTCTCCGATCGATTTAGATTTATATAGTAAAAAACAGTAAAAACTGTATGTGACGTATGGAAGAGAAGATCAAAGTACAAAGTATTCTTATAATAATCGCGCACGTGCAATTTTCTATAAACTATGAATATTCGAAAACTGTAAAAGGAAAATAGTATGCATAACCAAATAGCAAAAGTAATGTGCTTTCGTTTTAGCACTAGTTGTGTGTTGTAAGTACGTTCTGGGGGATTTTGTAAGAATGGCCACAAACATCTTGTCTGTACACGCGGGTCTTGTGGAACTTGACATTTTGTTAGTTATTCGATACTCTTTACATCGAAACATTCTACCGTTAAGTTTGTTTTCATTTTTCCTTGAGATACGAGATAATATAGCGCCCCTGTTTTCAGAATTTCTAGGTGTCTAATAAGATGCGGGGTGATGCATAATTCCAGGCCATCTACGAGATCTTGAGGGCACTCAAAGTTTATTGCCGGTGTTGGCTTCCGGTCGGAAGAGCTGTGAGTTATTTCTCATCGACCTTCTTCAATGACGGAGAAAAACGTTGAATGCAGAATACGTGAGAAAGAAGCCGCAAAACTATAGAAAGAATTGCGTAAGAGAAATAAGAAATATAAGAATTTGTAGGTATTATAAGAAATGTGTTGATCTAAATACTAACTGGCTAAATACTATAGAATGGCGTAGACAGTCTCGCACTAGTTAAATTTCTAATATCCTTAAATCTATGCAGGCTTTTTGGTAGTGCCCCACACTCTTCCCAGCTGATACTTATCGGCGCCGAAACGAAACTTTTTCACATTTTGTCAATTTTTCGGCCATCTAACAATACAGTTGTTGTTCTTAAAGTTATCCATTTTTTGACAAGTAGTTTATGAAGGATGATTACTCCGTGACTATTTTTGATATTGTGAAATGCGTTTTGGTGGTACGTTCCACCAACTTAACAGTATTTAATACAATTGCGAGTTTAAATAAGTAAAAAAAATGTGACAATGCTTGTTTTTACCCTGTGCGTTTTAAAATGTAAAATATGACGAGTATTCAATAGTTTTATCATCGTTGCGTCTGTAAAGTTGATTTTGTGCGCTATGTACGTAAATGAATTATGTGCACTTTAAGGACCAAGAATCCTGTGAGCATTGGTAGTTTAATTGCATCTTACTTATTAAGATGCAATTAAGTAAAAATACTGTTTGACAATTATTGTACCGTAAATGTCAGGAATATAATGGCGAGTTAAGAAGTGCGACTTGAAAATAATAATGGTATAAGAAAATCACATACAGTACATGTACATTATTTTACAACAAATTTGCCAAATGACATTAAATGATTAAAATCGACACCCAAGTAAAATCTTTTCTGGTGCACAACTGTTCCTATGCAATTAGAGACTATACCGAGCATCGGAAAGGAAAATATTAATAGTTTTAACAATTATATTTAATGTATTAATTACCCTTTTGACTGCATAGTTCTAAACAATTTTTAACACGTATTGTACCTCAGCTTCTGGGTCAATGACCCCCATCTCGATCAGGCTCTCCGTCGAGTTTGCCTGATGCTTTGAGCGCATGCTGAGATGGCTCCTTGATTTGCTTTCGGACATACATTAAACTTCAATTATCTATGCACGTCTTCCAAAGTTCAGTAGGAAATATAGTTAATAAAATTATCGTTCTCCATGTTTATTTATTTTTAAATAAATAAATATGTTGTGGCGGCCGGAAGTCGATTCCTTCACGATGAGGGATAATTGTCCAAATGAATAGCTAATTTGCCTTTGCAAACGTAATTTATTACATCGGAGGGAATATTTTGTTATCAGTTCTTGACAAAAACGCTCATTTCCTTCTGTGTTTAGAATTCAACATGTATTGTCTTAGTGAAGGGATCCTAGTATTAAGAAAACCTGCGAAAGACACTTTTCCCCACAGCACTTTTCACTCATAGTTGTAAAATGTATTTGGCGTTAAATAAATAATATCTGTGTATTTTGTTTCTTCTGTAAAATGACAATACTTTAACATGGTGCAGGTGCAACTACATTATCTCTTTTTGAGCAAAAAGACGATTTCTCAGCCTATTTATGAAGGGTCAGATTTAAAGAGTCTTCGCAACGGTGTTTTAGTTCATGTCAGTTTGGCCGTACAGAAACCGCACAGTGAGATCTGTGGAGTAAATTTCAAGATTGCCTCAATAACGCCCGCCTGATTATTATTCGTGTTGAGCTCGTTTTGCATTGCAATATTGCCTCTTCTCTTTCGCCTTTTATTGGTGATCGGTGAAGAACTAGGATAGATCGGGGCACATTTGCACAGAAAAACATTGCTTTAATTTGTGGAAAGTTAGATTTTTTGTTTTAAAAGTATAATTTTATAGGTGTACTGCTTATTCTATTTTACATTCAATAGCGAGAAAATAATTCAAAAAAAGCCGAATTTTGGACAAGTAAACTTAAGGATTATGCAACTATCAAGGCGTGTGTACGTAAATAACAAAATGAACCCACGAACATCAAACATTTAGTTTTCTATGTTCATTATGTTTAAGTGTTAGTACAAACTAGTTTCTTCCCTAGATCTTAGTTTTTGAAGGTCATTTCCTTTTGTTCTAACATAAAATAAATCCCTTTAGCACAAAGCATTGCTCTAAAGTGAAAAGAAAAAAATGACATTTCATTAAAATCCGCACCCTAGTCATCACTAACCACGATTTCGGTAGCAAACGTGGTCTTCCATTAACCCCCAGAAAAGAAGCCCATCACATTCAAATCCGGAGACCGAAGTGCCGAAATATTCAAAATATTTCAGGGTTATGGGAAAGTATTTTATTTATTGTTCGCGAGTTGTACTCGTGCCAATTAAAAAAATATTTAAGTCCATTCTTTAACAAAATCATCAACGACCTCTTTCATTCAGATAAGAACAATACAAACTAAGTATTGACAGTTTTAACAAATATATATGTATATATGCCGAAGTCTCACTGTCTCATATTACGAGGCACGATATGTGTTTAATCTAGCTTATTGTATCACTTTTTACAATACCATACAGTGTGGGTTTGTTCAGTTACATTTTTGCTGCAGCTGTCCACTATTCTATACCTTGTTCTAAGGAGAAACCTTGTTACGAGCTTTTATCTTTTAAGTAAGCGGTGAGGAGAGGACAAGAAAGCGGAAGGAAAGATATCGCGCGGTTCGTCAACCTTTTGTTAGGGTACTGTTCCGGCATTCGCCGGGTACCGATCAGAGCGTCCAGTCGCTAGAATTCTCCTCCAGACGGCGACTGAATTCGACCTAGCTATCAAGCCAGTGCAGAAAACCCTTCCCCCATCCGGACTCGACCCCTGGGACCTCCGGATCTGGGGAAGTGTCGCCCGCGAGGCTTCGCAGGAGGAGGACGAGGGGGAAGGGGAGGAGGAGGAGGAGGAGGAGAATTAGGAGGAGAAGGAGGAGGAGAAGGCGGAGAAGGAGGAGGAGGTGGAGAAGGGAGGAGAAGAAGGGGGAGGAGGAGGAGAAGGAGGAGAAGGAGGAGAAGGAGGAGGAGGTGGAGAAGGGAGGAGAAGGAGGAGGAGGAGAAGGAGAAGGAGGAGAAGGAGGAGGAGGAGAAGGAGGAGAAGGAGGAGGAGAAGGAGGAGAAGGAGGAGGAGGTGGAGAAGGGAGGAGAAGAAGGGGGAGGAGGAGGAGAAGGAGGAGGAGAAGGAGGAGGAGGAGGAGAAGGAGGAGGAGAAGGAGGAGAAAGAAGGGGAGAGGAGGAAAAAGAGAAGGAGAGGGAAGGGAAGGAGGAGAAGGAGGAGAGAAGGAGGAGAAGGAGGAGGGGTGGAGAGAGAGAAGGAGGGAGAAGAGGGAGGAGGAGAAGGGAGGACGAAGGAGGAGGAGAAGGAGGAGGAGGAGGAGGAAGAGGAGGAGAAGGAGGAGAGGTGGAGAAGGGAGGAGAAGGAAGGGAGGAGGAAGGAGAGAGGAGAGGAGGAGAAGGAGGAGGAGGGAGAGAGGAGAGAAGGGAGGAGGAGGAGAGTGGAGAAGAGGTGGAGGAAGGGAGAGGAAGAGAAGGGAGGAAGGAGAGAGGAAGGAGGAGAAGGAGGAGGAGGAGGCAGGAGTGGAGGAGAGGGAGGAGAAGGAGGAGGAGGTGGAGAAGGGAGGAGAAGAGGGGGAGGAGAGGAGAAGGAGAAGGGAGGAAGGGGCAGGTATTAGGAGAGGAGGAGGAGGGAGAGACGGAGTGGAGAGGAGGAGAGAAAGAGGGGAGGAGAAAGAGAGGCGGAGGATGGGGGAGGAGGGAGGAGGAAGGAGAAGGAGGAGGAGAGAAGAGGAGGAGAGGAGAAGGAGGAGGAGTGAGAGAGGAGGAGAAGGAAGGGAGGAGAAAGAGAGGAGGAGGAGAAGGAGGAGGGAAGGGAGGAGGGAAGGAGACAGGAGAAAGGAGAAGGAGGAGGAGGAGGAGGAGAAGGAGTGGAGAAGGGAGGGAGAGGGGGGAGGGAGGAGGTGGAAGAAGGAGGAGAAAAGGAGGAGGGAGGAAGAGGAGGAGGAAGCAGGATGAGCAGGCGGGAGTAGGAGAAAAATGGAGGAGGAGGAGAAGGGGGAGGGGAGGGGGAGAAGGAGGAGGAGGAGAAGGAGAGGAGAGAAGGAGGAGGAGGAGTAGAAAGAGTTGAAAGAGTAGAATGAGGAGAAGGCCGGGAGAAAGGGAGGAGGAGGCTGGAGGAGGCGGAGAGGAGGAGGGTGGAGAAGGGATGAGGAGGAGGTGGAGAAGGGAGGAGGAGAAGGGGAGACGAGGAGGGAGGGAGAGGGGAGGAAGATGGCAGGGGGGGCGGGGCTTCCGACGAGTAGCCCACCGGGGTTGGAGGTTGCGGGTTGGGGGTTGGGTCGGGGTGCAGCGTGGCGTGGCGTGGCCAGGCGTGGTCCCCGCTGAAAGGGCGTGGAAAGGCGAAAGGCTGCGGGATCGACTTTTCGATCGGCGCCACCCGGAGCGCCCCGGCCCTCCAGACGGCGCTCAAGGGGCACGACGCGCCTTTGGCGCTGCCGCGGATGGCTCAGGTGGCTCAGCGCATCAGTTCAGCTCGCTGCACTGCCTCTGAGCCTAGGGCTACAGCTATGCAGCTGGGTCGAATTCAGCCGCTGCCTGCAGAAGAATTCTAGCGGCCGATCGCTCTCATCGGGAGTTCTCCGTGCTTTCTCAGATCAACATCAGGCGAATGACGGAGCAGTTCCCTAACAAACGGGCCACGGACAGCGCGCGATCTTTCCTTCCTCTTCCTTGTCCTATCCTCACCCCTTACACTAGCATGCACCACACTCCACACATGGCGTGAGACCGGTTGGAAGCTTAGAGCGTGTCACTGACAAAGGTGGCTCAGGGCATCTACTTATGTTTTTGCAGCGCCTTTGACCGGGAGGTCCCACGGTTGCACTCCCCACGTTGGTAGGATTTTTGAAACTAGCTAGATAGCAAGGTCGAATGCAGCTGCTGTCTCAAGAATTGTAGCGGCCGGCTGCTCTGAACGGGAGTTTTCCGAGATTTCTCCCATCAACACCAGGTGGTTACCGGATAATACTTTTCATAATTTGCTCATATGTGACTAGGTATTTCGTTATATTTATTGTAAGAATAGAGTAAAATATATCTATCAAGATGGCGTTTGTCCAATTTCCACTGTTAACTGTGGAAATTCTAATTTGGAAAAGTTTAAAATATTTTTGCACTAGTAGTATTATTTGACACTAGTATTATTCTTTGGGTTATTAGACATGGCAGGAATAAACACTTATATTTTATGGGTATGGAATAAAATAAATCCGAAACGGTATTCTGTGTAGGTTTTCTTATTTTTGTGATCCCTTCACTAAGCCATATAGAGATTGAATTCAGAAGGAAATGAGCATTATTAGCATGAACTGATAAGAGAAATTTGCCGCAGTGTTATAAAAACGAATGCAAAATAAACATGGAGAACGATAATTTTATAAACTTATACACGTTTTAGTTTGTCATAAAACAAACAAAAACGCACAAATCTACAAGGCAGCAGAACAAAGCAAGCCCATAAAGATTTGCAGTGAATGCAACATTAAAGAACGCACTTTATATTAATATAGAATGAATACCAGCATTGTAGGTGCAGAAACGTTTGCCATTTTCACGTTCCGAGATGAAAGAACAAATAAAAAAATCAAAAACGCAAAAAGCATTAAATGAGCTGTACGTGTCCATTTTTAAGTTGTCAAAAATTCTTATTTTGCCTTTGTGGCCCTTCTCAATAAGTTGTGCAGAAGTGAACTGTTGCCAGGCCACCTGCAACTTGTTGCGTGTGGGGTCTTTTGATTCAATTTCTGCACTGCGCCACTCGCACAAGAAGTATCGATCGTAGAGCCACGATGAAATCGGCCGCACGATTCAACGATTACCACAACAATGGGGCTCGTAAACGCGGTGAAATACTGCCAAGGAGATTCACGACTTCCTCCTTCACAACGAGAATAACCGACGCAGTGATGATAGGCCTATCGTCCTGGGCTCATCGAATTGTTTAAAGGGGTTCAGTAGTAATAGTATAGTATGCAAATGGTTTTTAATGTTAAACTGTATTGCATGAGTACATACCTTGAAAAAGAGCGGTTATGAGCACGTTTTAAAGTTCGTACGAATGCAATAAAGCTACATTATAAGCGAGTTGCATACTTTTTTGTATAATAGCGTCATAGATTTATAAGAGAATCAAACTTATTTTTGCGAAACAACTTTCTTGTGACGCCTCGAGTATTGAATCTGTGCGAAAAACGGTGGTCAGCTGTCTCGTTTATCGCTACCACTCCACGATTATCTCGCTGCGATTGGCGAAATGTGTGTTGACGTAATAATACGACCCGTAAATGGCAAAAACGTCGTAATCTGTGCCTTAAGATATTTTTATATGAACGATTTCTAGTGACGAAAAAGGCAAATATGCTGAGATACAAATACATATATTTTTATTTCTGTAAAAATGATCAATTCCTTATTTTGCCTTTTTTAAGCTGACTATTTGGAGAAGAGGCTTACCTAACCATGTGTCAACGGTGTAAAATGGTTCATCATTCAATTAACTGTATTTATTAATTATTTCATTGGAGTGATAATGCTATTTGTGTTTATTTTCAATTAAATATTTTGTATTTCAGCATTATAAAAGCGCTTTTATTGTACAAGAAATCGTTTATAAAATTACATATTACGGTATAGATTGTGACATATTTGCTTTATATGGCACGAGTAATTGCAAGAGCGTAGGCTTCTGCGGCCGGAGTCAGGTCCGGGAGACGCCGTGTCCAAAGCACGGGTGCGACGTTTCGTCTGCCTTTCTGCGACCTTCCTCTTCTACCCTTCCTCAGGGAATTACGCCCTGAGGAAGGTCGCAGAACGGCGGACGAAACGTCGCACTTGTGCCTTGGACAGCCAAGTACATACGAATATCATCACACATTCAGCCAGTCTCAGCAAGATAACCGCGAGGAGGTAGGGGTGAACCGAACAGGCATCCATCGTTTTTTGGCATAGTTGTCAAATAACCGTGACGTCACAATAAATACGATTTCCCAAATTAGCTCTGGTTCTGTTATAAATTTGTAATGTTGTTACGCAAAGCATGGGGCATACAACTCATCATTCCCACAAATCGGAAAACTCGCACTTAATATTGCTCGTTTTCAAAACATTTACTCGTGCATCAAAGCTTCGTATTATACACATTATTAAATAACATACCTAAATGGACTATTAATCTACTATTAAGTGGAACTACAGAGTGTCTCAGAGGTGTAGTTTCTCTAATTTTTAGGTTGCGTACGGCTGTGATTCTATACTTCTATTTAACTTCGTTGTTTAATACAGGTGTCCCACGAACTATGTGCCACCCCAAAACTTCTAAACGGTTCTCGACATTGAACTGCAGTTTTCCCTCAAGTGCGGAATCGTTAGGCAGTAATATGCCGTAGAGGAGAGTTTGAAATATTTTTAGTTTTCGAGAAATTTAATAATCATTGATTCTTTAATGGAACTGTATATTTATCTCATCAGCAATGAGTAGACCATGAAGTGAGAAATTCAATGATAATATATTAGTATTTTGTTATTAATTTGAGAATAAAATGAGAATTTCTTAGAGCTTGTCCCTGCTGTATCGGTCCCCGCTTGGAGGAGATTCTTGTCCGGGGAAATTCTCCACAAGCAGACTGGCGGGTCGACGCAGGATATCACGATCCAGCGCGGAAGGGCCACCTCCCGCACAACACAACACGCACTACACTTAAGGGACTAATACTTTAAACAGTTGACGCTTACGGAGTGTCGACAGGTATGAGCGGGTGTCCGGGAAGTCCTAGGTTCGAGTCCCGACGGTGACAGGATTTTCAGCACTAGCTTGTCAACTAGGTCGAATTCAGTCGATGTCTAGAGAAAAAATCTAGAGGACGGCTGCTGTCATCGGTAGTTTTCCGAGATTTCTTCCATCAACACCAGGCGAATACAGGAGCAGTACCCTAACAAATGGGCCACGAGATCTTTCCTTCCTCTTCCTTGCCCTTTCCTCCCCCTTACTTACACACACACTAACATGCACTACACAAGCTCACATATCTGGGGACCGGTCGGGAGCTTAGAGCTTGTCACGATTGGGGGCAATGCCCTCCTGATGGGAGATACCTGGTTGGGGGAACCCCGCTATCCGAAGATAGGTCAGCGCCGGATCTCGCCATCCAGCGGGGACGACTACGGACACCTCCCGAGGAACATACATACACTACACTTACGGGTCTGATAACCTTAGCAGTTTGAGGCGCCCGGAATCACAATCAATCAAAGAACGGGGATACAATATTCAAAGAGAATGAGAACATATGTTGTGATAATTCATTCTACATCATTCTTCTAATTCCATTGTGAACGGAGACAGGAAATATGAATTTTGGAAAGTTATAATCGTTATAAAACCAATTAAATACTTCCAGATTACGAAGATTTTGTTGTCAGTCCAAACCCGTTTTGCCAGACAGAGCGAACATTTGTTAACAGAAAAGAAAGGCTCGCGTTCTTTTCGTGATGAATGTCAACACACGCGAAGGAAAGTTCCACACGAACTATTAGAAAGTTCGTGCTTGTATAGTTGGAAGAAAGCTTGTAAAACGATTGTTAGGAGTAAGGGCGGGGAATTTGTTATATTAGTTAACTTGTTGCATCTTTTGATGTGTGAAAAGTTGATAGTCTGTGATTTGTGATTCAACCAGTTAGTGGCAATAAAAAAATAATTCGTTTTGTATTTTCCCGCAGTTTCAAAAGGTACGAGCATCGTAGTAAAGAAAGGAATGATCAACGGTTATCATACATTTTAGCATATTTCCTCGCTAGAGACATTTCATACCTAAAATAAAGGAAAGTGTAGTGGAAATAGGTTTTGAATATTTCAATAAAATACGACCGTTACTTTAGGACCAGTGGGTATGATACAGTATCTCTTCGGTTATTAAAAATAACAAAATACCAAGGACAAGCTCTCGACCGGTCTCTGAGCTTGTGTAGTAGTGAAGGGCTTGTAAGTGTATATCATAACTGGGAGGAATTAAGCTGTCTAGAGGAGAATTGTAGAGGCCGGCTGCTGTCATCGGTTGGTTTCCGCGGTTTCCC